AAATTCGCAATGGGACACTCAACTTGGTCTGGTCTTCTGTGCATCGAGGCAGTGTGTAAGTTACTTTGTATAATGCAGATTGCACCTACAAAGCGCCTCTTAGAATTGGTCACAAGAACGATAGTGTCCGTATCCATTCGAACATCAAATATTTTTTGTTTTATAAGTACTTTTTTTGTGTTAGAGGCAGAAGAGCAGACGGGTCATCTAATGAAAAGTGACCATCGCCGCCCATGAACGTCTGCAACTCAGGAGTCACAAACGCGTAACTTGTAAGTAGTATAATAACCCTGTGGTTACAACAATGTTTTATTGAGTCTTAATTTATATAAGATAGAACGGAAGGATATGCCCTCTATGGATACAATAGCCTAGTCTATTGGTCAAAGTGTTTCCCTGACCGGTAACAGACTAGAACGATAACTCTTTAGAGCGAAGTGGGTGAAAGCCGCTGTAATGAATTATTCAAATGTTGTGATGTTGTGCAAAAAATGTTTATTCCCTAACCACAAATGTCATTATTACAAATACTTACGTGCACGTACTCAAAATGAAGCTGATAGGAAACTAGTTACCGTCGAAACTAATAAGTAATTGACCTAAAAGTTTAACTTGCCCGTGAATTGAATTCTGATTAAATCACAAATTTCAGTTGTAAAACAAACATAATTCTGCAGTAACATTGAATATTCAACGTGTGCCTGCACTTTGTTACCAAGTTTACTTTTACTACGAGCACTGGGTACAAAGTAGAACATAAACGCCAACTTTACCATTCTATATTTTTGTTATACAAAAAGATTGTACAACGATTTCGTGACATAAAGCTTTTGCACTCCATTTTTCAAATATTAAATTGACTTGAACCCCATGTTAGAAATCGTGTCATATGATTATGACATGATCGGATTCAAGCCAATGTAGATAGGCAATATTTGTCAAAAGTTATTATTCAATCAATTCAATTTTTTAAACACAATGTTTAAAAAGAATATTGTCTATGATCAACTTTTACCAAAAGCATTTGCAAGCAAGTAAAGAAATTCGAATTACTGGATTCAACTTGAATTTTTTTTTTCTCATAACAAATGCATACAAATATACACTATATAAATATATATGTATATTAGTCTGTATTACTTTATTTCAATATTATAGACATACATGTATGCAGGCACATTAAAATTAGTGTGTTGTCGAGTTAGTGCAGTCTCAGTCCTGTTTCTTCGTTTTAACACTTGCGAGATCTTCTATTCTAGATTTCGCGTTATTTGTGGTTCTTTCCCTCTCCGCTATCGAAACGATTATATTCCTAAAGAGGTTGTGTCAGGCAGGTTTACGGCAAGACGGAGGCCCTGTTATTTCATGGGCCCCGTCGTGGTCCACCCCCTAGCGCCTCAATCGTGGTCAACTCGGTTCGTACCGGTTCGGGCCCAGATGAAATATCTGGGCCTGATCCTCGACGGCAGGTGGCTCTTGGCGACAGCTTGCTCCAAAGCTGGTCGGCGCTGCGTCTGGCCTAGGGCGACTTTTGCCCAATTTGGGTGGACCCAGCGTCGCGACAAGACGGCTGTACACGGGGGTTGTCCGGTCAATGGCACTATACGGTGCACCGGTGTGGGCGGCGGCTCTGACCGCCCAGAATAGGGTACGCCTCTGGCGCCCTCAGAGGGTAATGGCGGTCAGAGCCATACGCGGTTACCGCACCGTGTCGACGGAGGTGGCGTGCGCGTTGGCCGGAACTCCCCCGTGGGATTTGGAGGCGGAAGTGCTCGCCGAAGTTTATCGGCGAGTGGCTGACTCCCGGGCGGAGAGCGGATTTTGCCCTCCGCCCGAGGATGTGCGCGAGTGGCGCGAAGCCGCTCGCCGAGCCACGATGGCTCGTTGGTCGTTCCGGCTGGAGACTCCACGCGCTGGCTTCGCCGCCGTGGAGGCTCTCCAGCCGGTCCTCCCCGTGTGGGCAGGGCGGCAGCACGGGACCCTTACCTTCCGGCTGACGCAGGTGCTTTCGGGGACCGTTGCTTCGGAAAGTACCTGCACTCGGTCGCTAGGAGGGAACTGAGTCCCGCCTGCCACCACTGCGACTGCAGTGAGGACTCGGCCCAGCACACGCCGGGCCCTCACTGCAGTCATCGGAGTGGATCTCTCGCTACCGGCCGTAGTACGCTCCATGGCCGGTAGCGACAGTTGTTTTACCGCGGTCGCAACCTTCTGCGAGGAAGTAATCTCGCAGAAGGAGGCGGCGGAGAAGGCCCGGGAGGACGACCTCCACTCGGACCCGATTCGCCGCCGGCGAACCGGGCGGCGGAGGCGCACTTATCACCGCCTCATGCCGCCCTGAGTGTGGCCGCGGGTGGACGGGGTGGGTTTCCCCTCCACCCGCATTAGTTTGGCCAGCCGCGAGGGGGCGGCGTCCGCGTGTGCCGGACGTCGCCTAAAGAGAGGAAAATTTTGAGACGGAGCCCTCACCAGGAGCGGGCTGGCGCTAGGAGGGGTCCGGATGTCTTAATAACAGCTGTTCCCGGATCCCTCCTGCTACAGGCGCAGAGTGGCACACCGTGTGGTTTTAGTCGGTCCGAGTCCGACACACCACCCCGCCGCAAACCCCGGTGGGGTGACGGTCCGAGGGGATTTCCACACGTTGAAAAAAAAAAAAAAGGCAGGTTTACGGCGTCCGGTAATTTTATGCCCTCTTAATGTTCATAACAGGGAAATAATATACAGTTATAGAATGCATATAAATAACATTTATTTAACTCATTGTAATACAAATTGTTTTCTTAATAACGTGATATTTCACATATTACATTTTTATATGTAAATAATAATTAAACACCAACTTACACCGACCGACACAAACAAATTATAACTTTCCCGAGGCTCATTTTTAATGTGAATTTAACATGAATTAATAATAATAGATTATCTACTTAGTATCTACATTACAACGTGTTACATAAATCTATGGCCATATGATAGTACAGTAGATCCCCAATAAAAGCAGCACTAGGAAAGTAGCAACTATACAATTTTTAAAGACGGAATAGGTATTTTAAAATTCGGCACAGGAACTTAATAATTAATTATGTAAGATAATACAGTGGTTCAATAAAGTTTCGTATAATACCCGTAATAATTTTGGTTTTGTGTTTAAAAAGTAAAAAAAAAAACAAATACAGCAGTCTAAAACTTTTTGATGTAAGATACAGATCTATGTAGGGAAAATCATCTACCAACGATTACTTTTAATATTTAAGGTTGATTCAATTACAAACAGTTATTAACCATCATAAAGCTTAGAACACAGAATTTTCTGTGAGCGCAGCTTTTTATAACAAATAATATAATCATATTTTAAATAATGCAACTAGCCACCAAGGCATCAATTTGTTTTCACCTCTATTTATGGAATGTATGAATGGAATCTATTTATTATTTTTTGTTCATAATGCGTAAAGTCAATTAGTTCAAGGAATAAAGCGACATGCCACATCGGTGCCAGGCAGATTGGCTTCAGGCAGTCGATCGGCTACAAACGATGAGCCAGAAGCCTTTTGGAATGTTAAATATTGCTCCACCTCCATATAAAATTTGGAAATCCGAGTATATATACTACGTAAAATAAGACACGAATAGAATTAAAAAAAAACGTAAACATAAAAATATTTTTGCATTTTTATTACAGTGCTACTTCAACTAAGATAAAGAGTTGATTATTTCTTGAGTAGTGTAATTAATATTATATTATTACCTACGTATATACATTATTATTATTATTTTAACCCGTGTGTGTAGGTTTATTTTGAATTTAGATTTGCTGCTTGTCATGAGAACATTTAGCATGAGTCCCCTTGATCAAAAAATTATTAAATTATTATAACAAATTTAAAATGTTACGTATCCTATTGTATAAATAGTTCTAAATAATAACATGAGAATAAAATATAATAATACAATGTCAACACATTTAGTCATTAGATGCACCTTAACGCGTTATGTATAAGAAGTCATTTTTTCTGTTTTCCTTTATATTCTCATAAAATGATATTTTTTTCTTTCTTTTCTTAATTTAGTAAACTAAGAAAAACAGTATAAAATAAAAACATGAAACACCCATAAAACAAGTATCAGTTTATCTTGAGTGTGAGTGTATATACCTCATTCCTTTCTGTTTCGTTTAAATATATACATTTACGATATTACTAAGAACTTTAATAAAATTTCGCTGGTAGCACTGCAATAATTATAGGTGCAGGGTAGGTAGGCGTAGAAATCTGCAGAACTTGATAAAGTAACACCTTAAGAAATGTTCGAACGTCTTGAATTAAATGTTCCACTTTTGCATACCATGAGTTACACTTTTGAAAGTTTTAATTGAACACAAATAGTCAAAAGAATACTGAGGAATACATAAACAATAAGCTGTGTATAAACAACTACTGAATTCTTCTATATCTTTATAGTTTTAAAGAGAGCATTGTAGGAGACAATAAAAATTTCTAGGTCTAGATCAAGTTTTTTCATAACTTTTCATTATACACACTGCTCAATTGTTAAATTTAAAATGGACATCTTTTTATTCATCTATACCAGGGATTCCCAAAATTATTGGAGTGAGATTTCGACCCTAGGGATCGATGCCTTGGGGTCGAAATCTGTTTCCCAGGGATCGACATAAAACAAAAACTGACTTTGGAGGTCGACGAGGTCTAATAATCGACCCCTATTAAATAACACAAGTTTTATTTAAATTAGTTTGAAACTTTCAAGATTAGTAGTTGTGTTACGTATACCAACTTGTTATGAAAATGACTTATATTTTAGTAGGCAGTATCATTTTTGTACTCTTAAAAAACCTAAGAAGTCGATAAGCGTGCAGTAATTTGGCTAGGGGGTCTGAGGTTTCAGTTTATTTTTGAAAAGGGGTCTCTTGGCCAAAATAGTTTGAGAATACCTGATCTATACCAATATAATGATGCAACCTTGAAACAATATTTCATTTATTTATTCTTTGCAGACAACGCAGTCATTTTTTTATAAACTAAAGCTGTAAGAACACCGTTGACAATATAAGTGGATACACAGACTACACAAAAATCATAAAGAACGAAAGCTAGTAAATAAGCTAAATATAAAGACGTAGCTATTGAGGATAGGGCGAAGACAAACATCACACGTGTCACTAGCAGCTGGTCGAATGTTGCTGAAATTACAATTACGAATTAAATTATTGCACTGGTATTAAATCTTAATCAAAAACAAATTTTTATTTGTCAGTATTTATTTAAAGAAGAATAACAAATTCATTACGGAGCCGTTGTCTTCGTAAGCACACACATATGTTAATATCGTAGAAATGATATGGACATGTATACATATACATATTTTATGACACAAAATATAAGAGTTAGAGTTTATAGTCAGTGTTCAGTATTCTAGTAGGGCTATCCTATTGTTGTATTATGACGTGTTAAGACACATATACACGAGACATGCGTAACGGGTTAGTGTTTATTACTGCACTGTGGACGATGTTTGTATCGGTCTCTAACCTCCAATAAAGAACCTAGGTACGTTTCGCAGAGACCCTGAACGAAAACAGCATAGTAGTCTGAACTGCACTTCTAAACCTGGCTTCTCCAGCGTTGCTATCATTACCATTATTTTTATCTATGATATCCTAACAGAAGAAATTCAGGCCGTCAACTCTCTTTTGAAACATGCCTTATAAAAATTGAGAAGTGCAAGCAAAATGATCTTATAATATACTGTAATTATACGACGACTTCAAAACTGAAGAACAAATATTTCTCCAATATAACACAAAGAAAATTAAACATTCACAGATAATTTAGAGCAACGCATTTAGTATCCTCAAACTGTCGTCATGGACCCATGGTCAAATTGTCGATAGTTGTTCAGTATTTAATTAGGTAGATTCCATGGACGTATAAAAAAGTCGGACTGAGTCTTGCTAACAAAAAACTGTGTCACTCATAGTCGGCCAGCTCGCTGTACGTACAGGCCCGCACACTTACACACATTAGTCGGTCATTACGCTCGCAAACATCAAGACAGCGAGACGCATTAAGCGGCGAAAACATATAAATATACAACATGTTCTGCGTAGTGAAATGCTGTAAAAACCGTACTGACCGAAAGAAAAATAATCCAGGAATCACGTTTCATAGGTAAATGAATAATTCAATCACTTATTTCCAGATTTTTTACATTAAAATTAATCAGTATTCGCTAGAATAAAAGAATTGCCAGTATTGTACATATATAAGCCCAGTGTTGCCAACTTTCACATGTGGAAAATTAAAAACAAAGGCAATTTTTGGTTTGTTTTTTAAATCAATTTATTAGGGTTGTTTATTTAATAGTTACTACTAGGTATACTATTTCATATTCTTTTACTAAATTTTCTAAGGATAATGGAGTATGGAAAAATGATTGGATACAAATATGTAATTTGAAATTGTCATGGTGAAAATAAAGACAACACAAAATTTTAGAACAGTTTGATGGCAATGAAAGTATTTTTTAAGCTTAGAATCTGAACATACTTTCGTTGGAATAGAGCACAAAATAAGTCTTATTAAATATGTAGCGGCAAAATATTTTACGATTCGGTTTCACCATATATCCAAATTAGAGGAAATTTCAAGAACCTCAAGGTAAAAGACATTATTTTACAAAAAAAAATACTCAGCATTTTTGACATGAAACAGTAAAATTTCGAATGAATAAATTATTTTTATTTATTGTGTGACTGTGTTTTAGGGCATAAATTTGGGTATCTTGGCAACCCTTAAATTCATTCGCACACAAAAGAGCTCCGCCTTTACGGTGCCTCAGTTTTGTCTTAGCGGGAGTTCCGTCCGACTTTTTTTATACGTCCATGGTAGATTAATTATCATCATAAGACCTTTACTTCAAACAGACTAGAAGTGACTATTGCTATTATAATGTTACCTGTTATATTGAGGATCGCACGTTTTATAGTTTTTTACTTAGACTTGTAATTATTTTTAAATTTAGTGCTCTTTGTCAATACTGACAAAGACCACTAAATTTAAATTGGTATGGTAACGCCCACGCGAGACCCAGATGTGGAAGGCCTTCACTGTTGGACCGTCTGTTGACCTCTGATCGTCCGGCTATAAAGTCATCGTTGAAGCCCCACTTGGCTCTTCGGATCATTGCCTAATACGGAGTACGGTGGCACTCATGTGCTCGCCGCGGCCGCGAGTTGCAGGCTGACGCCGCGTATGGCACTATAGGTCAGCGAACTAGGATGGGATGCCCTTTTCTTTGCGTCCTACCCATGATGATCCCAACGTCGTTGTCGATTTTGTCACTGATGTAGTGCTTCAGGGCATGTAACTATTTGTTACATCTACACTCATTCCCATCAGTGGCAGATCCAAGCCTTGGTTCAACAGATCCTGCAAAACGGAGTCATGGCAAAAGCAGGAATGTAACCAAGCATGGGCTAATGCAGCGACGAAAGGTGATGTTAACACCAGCACGCTAAAAAAGCAATGCAACTTTGCCTCCAGATCCCTCAAAAGAGCCATTGCCAAGGCGAAATCGGAGCATATCAGCCGGATTGGAGAGAGACTGGTGAGACTTCCTTCTGGAACTCGTGCATTCTGGCCTTGCCAAGGCAGTCCAGGGGAATTTCTGTAGCCAATCCCTTTTACTCCTGTAGATGGGCGATGAATCGTCGGCGTAAGATGCCAAGGAGAAAGCCGATCTCATAGGCGAACTCTTTGCGCCCAACTCCACTTTGGATGACGGGGGAAACGTACGTAACGACCATGACGCGGTGCCAGAACTCTATGCCGGAAATCCATATTCATAAGTCGAGTGATCCCGATGGAATCTCCCCTATTGTGGTGAAGACGTGTGCTCCAGAGTTGGCACCGGTTTTAACTCGCTTTTTCGACTCTCCTACTCCCCTACTCCGTAGGCGTCGTTCCGAACTTGTAGTAGAAGGTAGGAAGGTAGCGTTTATGTACCCGATACCTAAAAAAGGTGACGGCTCTGATTAGTCCAACTACACGCCTAGAGCCATAACATAAGAGAACAAGAGCTCTAAGATTATGGAATCCATAATCAACTGCCAGCTCCTCCGGTACTTCAAATCACCAGTTACTTAATGACCGACAATATGGTTTTCGCCGGGGTCGCTCAGCTTGTGATCTTCTCGTTTATCTAACACACCGGGGGGCACAGGCGATCAAAACTAAGGGAGAAGCTTGTGCGATAAGCTTGGACATAGCGAAGGCCTTTGATCGGGTATGGCATAGGGCGTTTCTCTCGAAGCTCCCTTCCTAAAGGCTTCCCGAGAAATTATGTAACTGGGTCAGCCCGCAGGGCTGTGTGCTCTGACAAACACTGTTTCTTCTGCATATCAATGATATGTCACGAACTTGTGGCATCCATTGCTATGCAGATGATAGCACGGGAGCTGGCTTTTATACTGGCCGTCCCAATATTTCTCGGGAAAATGTCATCGAGAGTCAAAACGAACTTCTGTCTGAAGTTGAAACATCCTTAGCGGAGATTTCAGCTTGGGTCGACTGAATCTGGTTCACAGGTTTGCGCGTTCACCGCAAAAAAGACACCGTTTGTCGTATCGCAGGGGCACCACAGTACCAGCTTCTCGAAAGAGCGACTCGAATCGTCGATAACCAAAAGATCCCTAGGCGTTACGGAGAGATGTAGCTTCACTCTGCATCCTCTATCGTATAAATCATGGAGAGTGCTCCGAGGAATTGTTCAGACTAATACCGGCCGCATTCTTCCGCTATCGTTCTACGCGGCAAAATTTTCATCCCCACCACTTGGATAATTGGAGCTCTACCACTGTGCGCTTTTCAAGACACTTTTTTCCTTGCACCACCAACCTGTGGAACAAGTTATCGGCTGCGGTATTTCCAGACCGATACTACTTTCAAACCTTCAAGAAAAGAGCGTATTACTTCCTCAAAGGCTGGCAACGCGCTTGTGAGTTGCAGGCGTTCATGGGCGGCGGTAGTCGCTTTCTATCAGGTGACCCGACCCCCAGTTTGCCCCCTATTCCATAAAAAAAACATACTTTTACAAATTTTCATGTAGGTACATTAAATAATATATACGCGAGAAAGAAATTAAATACTGAATACCATTTTGACGGTATATTTGAGGTTATGTCAAAAAGTGTTATATATAAAAGTTTTAGATTTTTAATTATCTACAACTTTAGCATTGTACATTTTCCGGCAGGAGGCCACGCTTCGCCGCAAATCGCAAGAAAAACATTTTCACCCCCTATACTGCATCCCCATTCCACCATTTTCAATGTTTTCGTGTTTAATTTTTTTTTTCTTACATTTGGAACCTCAACAACATTTTCCACCTAGTCCTTGCCTGGTGTTTTTTTTTTATTTAGTATTTCAAATTCGTTTTGGCACCAGCCTAACTCTCTTGTGCACATATCTCTGTAACCCAACACAAACACCTAACAAATATCTTGGAAGAATGAAACAAGGTCTATACACGATTAGAGTTTTGAAAGAGCTATCCTCTATCCTAAAGGTCAAGGACTAGTAAACGCAAATACCTATATTGTTAGCGAAACGAGCTAAAACACGTTGTTGGGCCTGTAAAATTTGTGGGTTTCCCTCGATTTCTCTAGGATATCATCATCAAATCGATTTGGTGGTAATGGGACCACCTCGGGAGTATACTCTTTCAATTACAAAAATAATTTTGAAAATCGAACATCATCGCGTAACAATGATACAAAATAAAAGATACAGCCGAATTGATGAGGAGGTTATCAATTCAGCTGTATATTGTGTTTTTAAAGTCGGTTAAAAAACAACAAGATGAATTAAAAAGGTCTACTAGCAACCGAAACGACTAGTATTCCCCTAAACCCCTCTCGCTCAGCTAAATTGCTTGTGTTAGCAGTGGGTTCACGTCTCGATAGTTTACTGGTCAGGATTTGAACGCACGGCCTCTTGATCGCAAGTCCAACGCCAAGCAACACTTAAATAAAAAACTTTATGAGAAATGCAGAAACTTTCAGTACAACGAAAGTATTAACTGCAATTAACATGGTTTGAGAATAACAATCATTCTTCTACCGATATTAATTATGCTTCTTACGATATTACTCTTTAACAGAATATGGTAAAAATACCGACGCCGTGTTGAGTCGTTCCAACCAACCTGTTCCTGTAATAGGTGCAACTAATTCTAATAGCATAAAACGCTGACTTACTATGAAAATATTAATTAAGTCTATTATCCCAAGCCGCAGTTCCTAAGCTTTAATATTGGCGAGTGTTTCATAAAATTATTACATGTATAAAACAATTACAATGACAGAAAATGAGCACTCAACACAACAAAAGCAAGATATTATAATTCCTAAGAGATCAAACAAAGCCGTTGTGGCTGATTTCAATATCAGACTAAAATAACACAATGCCCACTACAATTCCAACCATTTACGAGCGTGTTTCACGGAATTAACATTTTAGCGAAGCAATAAAACCTCACGCAAACCCTCTAAATATTCAAATAGAGAAATATTTTATTACTATACACTGCAATGGTATTGGGAATATTAATTAATCCTAATTAAACTTTCTTATTCGCTCCACGGGTGATTACGTTTTAATACTAGCGGCCACGGATAATACTCGAAGTAAAGGTAAGTTAACAATCCTTCAAAATTGTCGAACGTTTGTTAAACATTAATACACAAATAGTGTTTTGTATGGGTACTAATTTATATTTTCCTCAAACGTTTAAACCATATTGCCACGTAACGTCGCGCACTTTCTAAACTTACGTATAAATAAATGTATACTTTATACAATAACAGGTATTCGCTCCTCATGTGCTAACAAATTTTCTTTAAACATATCAGTATTGCAAGCTCCTAATTGTATGTTTGCTCTAGGTAAAACGTTTATCGATTTTCAATTAAATAAAGAGTTGCACAATCAATACAATAATACCAGAAGGTAAAATTTTATGAATAAAGGCGTACACATCTCGATTCTGGTAGTTTATGGTCTTACGCTTTTGGAAGACTTAATTTTTATTTAATAGCCTCGACATAAATTTGTTGTCCTTAATTTATGTGTAGTACCTACTAAGTCTGACTTATGCCGATTTGATTTATTCTTCCTACATTATTTATGTTCACCACATCAATTTTCTCTTGATCGGATTCATAAACATCGTAATCTTGAAAATCTAATTAGCTTCACTATAAAACTCAATATAATTCTTACATAAAACCTTATCTATATATCTATCTATACATATATCTTGGGACTATTTTCCTTTGAATTGTGTTCAGAAAGAAATATGTAATTTCTAAATGTATTATTGGAAAACATCTCCAAACTAAGAGAATGAGAAATTATAAATTCTATAAACTACAGACACAAAGCTACCATCACGGCACTTGCGCGGGATGCCGCAATATTTTTCTTTTAGCGGTTAGTCACGAAGCTGCTAACCACGAACCCCGTTGATGTGCGAATTGCACGGCGATGCTCACAATGCCTCTGAGTGACATCACACCGTAATACGATGTCGATTATTCGAATCGCGATGGTAATTACAACTCAAACAACTACACAAGTCATTAATTATAATAACTCCCACTGTTGTAACACTTTTTATAAAACCATTTCGATAAGGAGCCGACGTGTAATACTATAGTGTATTAAGACATTTGTAGACTTGACATTTTTAATTAATTTATCAATTATTAATGCAGTATTTTACGTTTTTGTTAACGATTTTCTATTTTTAGCTAAATGTCATAAAAGTGGATAACGTTCATTCACTCTTTAATTATGAGTTGTTTGGTTTAGATTTAAAGAAAAACTGTTTTTACGAGCTTCGAATATATCATTATCTTTTACGCAGATGTTTAGAAAGTGGGATAAAGTCGTTAAATTTACTGCAACTGCATTGGGAAATTCTGCGAAACAAAAGCAACGTCAGATAGAACAAAGATTTTTAAATATTCTAAAATTTGTGACATTCTTAACTGTGTAATAATTTGTATTTGCTCCGTGATCATAATGTACTATTGTAATATTAATTCAATGACATTCAAGCATCAAAAATGAACATTTATTTGTTTTTTCATTTAGGAATGGTTTCTTTCTTTTACTACCTATAGCTATCCATTGAATTCAATAGAGGCTTTATTGAGATATAGCATCTTATTGACAATATTTATAGTAAAGTTGTTATGGGTAATATCAAACCTGGGAATTATGGGCGCGTATCACGAACTGTTTTCAATGTGACAAGTTTTCACTTATTTTTAAATGACTTAAAAAAACATGTGAAAACTTGTCAATCGTTTTTCTTAGACCAAATCTATCTGAACTATAATGGTGGTAATTGCAATTACCAGTTTTGTGGACATACAGCATAATAACTCTTTAATGGCACACTGAATGATGTTAATTTGACAGATCGTTAGTATACGTACATAAGAATATCACGAGAGAATAGAAGACGATTCCATAAATGCAGTTCGGCACTTTTAACGATGACTCTGATGATAATAAACCAAATCCTTTGGCATACCTGAAATATAATTTGTACTGTTTAAGGTCGCATATATCTCTGCTATTTATGCTGACTTAGTAAAGAAAGTAAATATTTATGTTAACTGCTCGGTACAAGAATTACATTAATTCTGTTTTGCTACTTTATGTTACCGAAACGGTACAAACATTATTGCATTAATTAGCATAATATTAAACAATACATAAATATGAAATCAAATTTTTTGTCTTTTATAATTACATATTTACATCCAGGACCGCCAGACTAAAGCCCTAGTAATACAGCATATTCTAGTTTATTTCAGAACTAGCTTTAATACTTTAATATCGTAATGAAAGAAGCCTATCCTCGTGTTAGAGTGCAAGTTATGAACTTCAGTTGATTATAAAACTTTATTAGAATCGGTTTAAAACTTGCAACAAAACACACTTAAAACTGTAGTAAAGAGATACACAGTGAATACCTAACAGCGTATATAATAATACACTTACTTCGAAGACAGAACCCGTGAGCAGCTAGCGCGTTCAGAAATATCACATAGAGCCTTGTATCCAGGTTGGGACTCCACAGCCATTTCCACATACATCGCATACGTTGAAATCAGAATTCCAGCTAAGCCAGTTAGCACAATAACTCTATCGAGGCTTTTCACCTTCATTGCTGGTTACCTGCAACATATGTGAAAACCTTGTGAAACCTACACATGTATATAAATACTATATACTATAGGCCGATTTCGACTACAGCAGCCGCCACTTCTCTCGACAATTGTCGATAGTGTCTGTTCCTGACTTCAAACACTATGTCTCAACTTTGGGCCAGACAGTGATCTCTTAGGGTGACGACGACGCGCCGTCAATGTTTCAAATATTCTAAAGCCGAGCGCGACGGCGTTAGGCCTATATTTCTATAATGGTTAATGATCTTTTATTAAGCGCTTTGAGCATTTTTTGAGATGGGAAAAAACAATTAAACTCGCGACACTGTTACCGTTAACATTACTGACACCTCTGTATGTAAGCATATATGTGCGTTTTTATTTATGTCGGCACTCTCGGAGTACCACTATTTTTTTAAAGCTCCTGCTGCATCTCCGCCCTACAAATTGTAAGGCGGAAAGAATCTGCTGCCGCTGATAATGGAGAACAATGCATTTGCAAAAAAGAAGGTAGATGGAATATGAAGAAACCGAAATAATTTAGATTTATAACCAACTCGAAAACACGGTAACAGTGAAAGTTAATAAACTTTCCTTGCATTACGATTAAAACCCACTACGATTTGCAAATTGTACTAAAAAAAAAATTTCAATACTTATATTTTTTTTAACTTTGCATATTAAAATGATTTTAGTGCTGTTTAAATAATTCGAAGAAATCACAATCCAGGTTATGGCGTTATTTAATATTTAAGAAATTAGAAAATACTTCTACAGCAATAAACTAAAGTGGTGTAAAAATATATGAATACAGGATATTTAATATTAACATAAAATACTAATACAAATTAAGGTCAACACAGGCAATGAAGATGAGTTTCTCATACCGGCTTCAAGGCTGCTAAAAATAAACAACTCTAGAGATCAACGTGCGTCAACAAGTGAAGAAATCCATAAAGAAAATGTCCTAACAAATTATGACTAACATTTTAAATTAACTATAAGCTTATGGTATACCCTCTACTCTTCTAATGACTGAGCAGCGGATCAAAATCATTCTTATGTAGGGAAAATGTAAAGCTTCAGTTTAATACAAAGTAACTTTGACACTTCCTTTGGTCAAGATTCACAGTCGCGTGCAGTCTTAATAGCTTATATTAGCAACTTGCATACGTAATGATTTATGACAAACGAGTTCAAATATAATAAAGAATATTTATCTGTCACATTAATATGATAATAACATCTAATAAATGTTTTTTAACATCATTAAAAATCAGTTAAGCGTATCATTATTAAACAGGCGCTAACGTCTTTAAATATTTATGTTCAAAGATCAATATCGAATCGAGTTATTAAACATTTCTTAATTGTATATTTGTAATTAAAGTTGCAACGGAAGAAATTAACACGTTCTCTTGTTCGTAAATTAATTTTATTTTAGTAGGGTAAGCCGCGTGTTATACACAACAAAAAAAAAACTTTAGCTCTGTATTCGTTTCGCCACCCCTTCGTGCCTAACCGACGTTCTAGCGGTGCGGCATAAAAATTAAAAAGAAAACATACAAAGCACACCCGTTGGAGGTCTAACGTTTTGTTAACATAAATCACTAAAGCATTAAACACTGTTCGTAATAGCACTTCAAACTGTTTACAAAATGTTAAAATTTAAAAAGTAAATTTACAGTAACTTAAGATGTTTTCCTCTTACATGATAACTTTGTATAATTAAATTATCATTTGCGAACACAGACCTGCTGCACACACTTATGTTATATTATGGACGATAATAATAATTGTGTAAAATACAAATTCAATTTTTACAACTTACCTAAATTAAATATCACGATAAAGGTCACAATATTCACGTCACAGTATGATTAAATAATTAGTTACATACACAAATATGAAGCATTCAATAATATCTAACTAAAATAACTATTTAATATAATAATTCCTTTTTGATAACAGACGTGTCTCCTACGTAATATCACAAGCTCGACTGAATGATCAGAGCCTCTATCAGTAATCTATTTATGTAGACGAACCCACAAAGTACCTAACATACAGTTAAAACTTAAAGTTTAAAGTGCAAAAACGAATATGGACAGAGGTATTTGCTGCAAACAGTAGATATGTGGAATAACTTAGACATGAATATTAAGTAAACGGAGCTATTATCCTGAAAGTACCTAATCTTTCCTAGAAATAAATTTATGTGATAAAATAAGAATCATGTGAAAATAAAGGTAGAAACCAATATGGTTTGTAACTCGAAAGCTCTTTTCAGGGTTCCGTAGCCAAATGGCAAAAAACGGAACCCTTATAGATTCATCATATAAGTCTGTCTGTCCGTCCGTATGTCACAGCCACTTTTTTCTTGAACTATAAAAACCATACTGTTGAAACTTGTGAACCGCATTAAGATTTTCACACAAAAATAGAAAAAAAACAATAAATTTTGGGGGTTCCCCATACTTAGAACTAAAACTCAAATATTTAAAAAAGTGGTAAAATGTGTGTGTCGTCGTCGTCGTCGTCCCGGCATTTCTAAAATAAGAGAATGATAAACAAAAAAAAAAAATATGATGTACATTACCATGCAAACTTCCACCGACAATTGGTTTGAATGAGATCTAGTAAGTAGTTTTTTTTAATACGTCATAAATCGTAAACCGCAATTTACCTTTCATTCATTCAACTCAAATATAAAAAAAAACCATTTAATTGCATAAACATAAACCTTATGCATAAACCGTGAACCATTATTTTCTAATAATAAATCTGTAATAGATGCCTAAGTAAATAATAATTAAAATTCGCGCGGGGCGTGGCTTGATCGGTTCAAGAACTTTTATATTATGTTACTTGCTGCTACGGAACCCTTCATGGGCGAGTCCGACTCGCACTTGGTATTTATAATTTCAGTAGAATTTATACATGTTTCTCTACCTACATCTCTACATCGCGATTCTCTACCCATTGCGGCCTTTAGATTTGAAATGAAAATAGAATAGATTATAATTACATTAAAACCTCAAGAATACTTATAGAACGGTTTTGTATACTAGACCGCATAGCCGTTAAGAGAATTTTGTTAAGAATTTTAATAACTTAACAATAAATGATCATAATGACACACGAATGACTAGTGGTTAACAATAAAATTCGACATTTTTATTTAAACAACTTCAAAATTTGATTGCGTTGCAAAAAAAATAATTATTAAATCTACAATGCAATGTAGGTATGTGTAATGTATTATATGTTCATATATGTAGAACAGGTTGCGAAAATATGTAGAATACCTTATTAAAACAATCATAAAATTCCATTACTTTTTGAGCGGAAATAACAAATATACCTACATATATACATGGATACAATATAGAAAGAACCTCTTTCAATACACACTTAAAAATGTTTAGTTTGGAAGTCTTTTTTATAAAAAACAAAGGATAGACCTTATTAACTAGCAATAAAAAATGGAGTAAAAATGACCAGAAAAACTGTATTACATAGTTTTTTTGTCGTTTTTACTTGATTTTTTTACGATTCACGCTGACAACGTCATTTATTAACCTCGAAGCAAAAGAAGGGGTGTTATGAGTTTAACGTGATAATCCTTGTGTCCGTGTATCTCATGTCTGCGTTCCTGTGTCTATTATATTTCATAAAAGAAAAAATATCTAGTTGGTCAAAGGTTAATCAGTCGAATATATAGCAATATATGTACCTATAAAGCAAAGCACTGTTGAGTTATTCGAAAATAATCAGCTCATCTTTAATCTTTTAGTAGCTTTTATTGATTTTTTTATTTTTATACATACATTTTTATAGTACACTCAGTCACTTAAAGTTTACTAATTTTGTAACATACTCGTAGAATAATTTGCTTGTAAGTATGTATGTAAGTATTTTTTTCCATTTATTTTGGCACAAACAGTCATTTAAAATAAAATCACACAATAAATATACAAAGAGTGGTAGACAACGAGTGCCTAAATCAATTTCTGTAATAATTAAAGTCTATGTGTCGGCTTAGAAAGCTGCATGAGTCACAGATGTTACTGAGTGTGTTACTTATCATATTGTGTTAAACAAATCGTATAAAACAAAAATAAAACCAAGGGTAGATACCATATTATAATAATTGTGTCAAGGGATTCAATGCTACTTAATACTCAGTATATATATGTTTAAGTTTTTTACCTATTGACACAGATTTTCAAATAACATTTGCTTAAACTTTTGCAATGAGTTACTAAATAAATCTATATCAGAGAAGTTCTTACCGTAATTGGTGAGGCATCGTGTGAAAAAAATATTTTGACAGTATTTTTTTCGAGAACGAATTAATGTACTGTATGTAAAAAAAGTTTCTTTTATTCTTTCTAATTTAATGAGGCACTAAAATGTGTAGACTAATGAACATGTTCTAGATTTAAGTTAGAGACCTGTGCTGAGAATATCGCCGTTAACATTTAAAATGTAATGCTACCTATATAAATAAATAATGTTAAATTAAGTAAAACAATGGAGCAAAGCTAATAAATAATAAAATGATTTATACGAAGTTGCTAACAATGTGGGATGCCATGTCTACCTATACAAAACGTCACTACTGATAACTATTGGTGCCAGTTAAATTATCCGGATCACTGAGCACCACACATAACAGATTCACCGAAAGGATCTGACGTATAACCTTTACAAAACAACTTAATTTAATCTCATTCAAGTTAATAGTACATTTTGAAATAAATAAGAGAACAGTTAGTAAAGTAGTAAAATAATATAAATGCAGAAAAGACAATTACTCATTTGTTTTATTTTCAAAAGATAATTCCTAATTTATTTTATTGTATCTTAAGAGGATTTTTAATTCGTGAGTCACGTAATTAGAAACACTACAATAAGAAAATGTGTCGTATTCGTACAATTTTGACAGCTAATTCACCAATCAGGGCCTCAATTCTGCTATTTTATGTTTGCGCCAAGCCACTGTCAGACCACTGACACGCTATTGAGATGCCATCGAGTGGCCATTGGCATCGGTATAAATATCGGTATTATAATAAATTATTAAAATTAATAAATAAATTAAAATAAATAAATAAAGTAAACTAAATTATTAAAATTATAAAAAAAAGATAAATTATTGAAATAAAAAAAATAAAATTAAAAAATTTTTAAAATAAATAAATCATTTCCTTATAATTTGAAAATACATTACGTTTTTTGAGGAAATGATTTTTATTTTTTATTTTAATTATTTATTTATTTTTATATTTATATATTTTATTTTATTAATAATTTATTATAATAAAAATAAATAAATCATTTCCTCAAAAAACGTAATGTATTTTCAAATTATAAGGAAATGATTTATTTATTTTAAAAAATTTTTAATTTTATTTTTTTTATTTCAATAATTTATCTTTTTTTTATAATTTTAATAATTTATTTTACTTTATTTATTTATTTTAATTTATTTATTAATTTTAATAATTTATTATAATACCGATATTTATACCGATGCCAATGGCCACTCGATGGCATCTCAATAGCGTGTCAGTGGTCTGACAGTGGCTTGGCGCAAACATAAAATAGCAGAATTGAGGCCCAGTTGTCTTGCTTGTCTTGCCGGTAGTTGGCGAGGAATGAGAAATAATGATTTGGTGTACCTAAGTGTTTAGTGCCACAAATTTGGATTTTTATTCTTTTGAAAACATAAAGAAAATGTCTATGTACAAATTATCATACAATCTATATAGTACTCTACTCTATCCAATGACATTTGTTTACTCAAATGATGACGTCATACGTCGTCACGTGACCACCATTTTTTACATTAAAAATATTCTTTTATTTGATTTGAGGTTTATTATTTAACATGCGGCGTTCAAAACTATTTAAAAAAAGTTGTGAACTCCAAGATTACGACTTGGGAACCATCACGCTCACCAAATCTTTCTTCAGTTTATTTTAATTATTTTTGAAAAACCTTAACTAGAAAGCGCAAATTCGCTGATTATTAAAATTGTATTATAAAAATTGTATATATACAATTACCCATAGCATTTTCCTCTTTTTTATTTGTAATATTAAAACTCTGTACGTTGCCATTAAAAAATAATCAGGGACTTTTCGAGTTAGTATATTAGCAAAGGATTAGAAAGATATAGATAGACAATGATCCCTGTCTTCTTTCGAATCGAAACGGCATCGCTGAAAGCCCTACAAATCAATCACATTCAAAGCATGTTCGTGGATTAGATCTGTAATGCAGACTTAAGAGCCGAGGGGTAAAAAACTCGATACTGTTTAGAATTGCAGGGTATACAAGGTTGGCAACATCGTCCACACTCCGTAAAAACTGTGTGAGGTGGCTTGACTTAAAGGTATTAGTTACCAGGTCATTAAATTAAAAAAAAAAGTGTGAGGTGGTGTTTGTTTAAACATGGTAAATTTATGACTTTTCGCTGTCAACTTATGCCATATTGATAAAGTTTAGAAAGCTATTAATAAACATATTAGAATTAATATTGTTCCAGGTTCAGTATCGTTTAGAATGTATTACTGTGCCTTTATTATAAAGGTAGGTTAAGGGCGCCTTTTTGCACTTGCATTAAAAAATAAATACGCATACCTAGTTATGCTTGAACGCTAAATCTACAAGTCTTCTTACGAATTATGAACGCAACCTTTTATTGAAATGTCAAAATCTACACATGCACAAACTTCATTTTAATGAACCGTTTCCAACAAAATAAATCTGACTTCGATTCGAGCACAGTGTGTGTGAAAGCAGAACACATAAAACACGGAGTATAATCAGTTGGAAAGCTTTTATCGCGCATCATACCAACATAGCAAAACAAATTCATATATTCAAACCAATTACCCAAAATAAAAACATAATTTTAAAAGCTTTCCAAATACTTTGAAATGTTTAAGGATGATATAAATTTCTTGAAAGATTATAAAAACTCTTATTCGCTATTAAAATATCGACCACAAAACTAAAATTATCTTTGACACAAGAGATAGACTTACCAGTTGGAAGAGTACAGCGAATCGCCACATTGCTAATGACGCCCAGTATCGCGGAATGTCTGTACTGTATGTTGGTAGCACTGTTTTTAGTTCACCATCGCGACCGCAACGCAGCGTTGGCGTCGTGTAACACCTTTCATTGTATTGACTATTGACTGATTCTGAACACAGAGAATAATGTATAAAGTTAATTTATCGTATTATTGTCTTAGTTCTTGTTAAAATATACAGTTGTATGTTTTAGTTTAAGTGTAATAATGCCTCCGTTTACGTGAATGTGAAATAAAGCAGCCCGTGGAGTGCTACGCGGCCATTTTACTTGCAATGCGGCAACGGTGTACGATCCGCCATTGGAAACGGCCTGTGTCTTTTTCTGTGTGCAAGATTTGTATTTTGTTGAATAACGCGGTGTAAAAACATCGGATAGCCATGTGTGATAAATGTGTAGTGCGGACTTTAGTGAAGTGAGCCACGGTGGTCGGGTGATTCGAATAATGTGTGAACGATGGAAAACGAAGTGAAGCAGCGCAATCAGAGAAATAGGCGAAGGGAGCGGGCACAGCGCATGCAAGCACAGCGAGAGAGCAAAGTTAAGGATGGAGACAGCGGCGAGGACGAGTCTCCAACGAGAGAGAAGCCGCCTCGTCCTCCTGCCAGGAGGAAGAAGTCGCGGGAGCCGCTCGGAGAAGAGGACATCATCGATGGTTTCGCCATAATGGCATTTCGCACTTACGAAGATCTTGAGGTGAGTACATATTATACGCAAATGACTTTTATCCTATATTGGAACCAAACTATCTATTATGAATATGTCAGACAAGCATATAGTACTGTAGACCTGTCCTCTTGTCTCGTGCATTGCATAAACACTAATTATCAAGTATTATACAAGAATCGCTAAAGATTGTTTACATTTATCTGCCTTACTAAACAACCTTGTAATACTATCTTAATTTTAGATGTTTCAGAAATTTGTTAATTATTTATACCAGCATTATGACGACATCTATTGTCAAACTTTGTTCCTATGAACATTTAGAAACACGTTTAAAAAATATTTTTTTCTATTAAGACGATCAGATTCTTCTAAAATATACCCATTATAAAAACGGCGCTTCGTAATCGCTTTGGACGTCGCCTCGGAAGTGCATTGACCCAACGAATGAACCCTGCCTGTAAAAAGTAGATAGTGAAATTTAGTTGTTATTTACGTAAATGAAAGTAGGGATTTTATTTATTTTTACGAAGAAACCAGTAAATGTCATACATATATTATCCACCCATGGAGATAATACGTATATGTATATTATGGTAGTGAGCAGCTGACTACCGATTGTCGTGCCTGTCGGGGCAAGTACCGAGCACCGCACTCGGCGCGAGGTGCAGTCGCGGTCTCCCACAAAGTGTAAATTTGGTCTAAGTGGCTTTCGCTCGTTTGTGCTCATTTATCGCGCCGTCCTCGAATGGCAATATGTTGTGTACGTTGAAGTCTCGTATGTGCACAATAAAACTACATTCCCCGCTATCGTTTTAAATTATGGCGACAGGCTTGCCGTTTGTGGCTCGTTGGAGCGGCGCGCGTATATTATAGGCTGAACAGGTTTCTTTGCTCCTATTTAATTCAACACATGTGGTGAGCAATGCTTATGCAATTTCCACTTACAATGGCCTGTAAGTTAATCTACTAAACTACGCTGTAAATCCTGGACGTAGAAACTGAAGTAGTCTTATTAGGAGCTTTATTACAAAATATAAACGATGTACTTCGCTCATCGTGAATTTAAAATAAATTGATTGAGCATCCAACACGCTAGTGACGTAAACCCGAAATATTTAACTTAGTGGTTATAAAAATGCTAATTGCGTTAATTGAATATGAATAGGCTTAAAAAAAAAACAAAATAGAGTTCATTTTAATATTTATTATATAAAATTGAAAGCTAATACATATAAACAGGTATTTTTGGTAATACTGACTTTGAGTGTAAATGTTCCTAAATATGTATGAGAATTGTATTCAAATGTGTGTTTCAACTGTAATAAAAATATCATTCAAAATAATTCTGAAAGTCAGAACACTAACAAGACCCAATTACCTTAAGACTTTATCATATTCATAATTTGTTAACGCCAAATCAAATTCACACAGCATATTAATGCAAGCTACATGTCTTAATGTAATCTAGTTGCATAACTTACGTTTTTAAAGAACTATGTCGTGATTCTCAACAGTCGATTACATTTCATTCTCAACCAGAAATCAGAACATTTCATACTTACTGTAAACTGTTTTACCTCACTATCGTGAACCTCGATTTACGACTGTAGTAAATATGCATACATAAAAAGCTCAATGTTTTAAATGCGATTAAATCTTTCCTATTTGTTAATATAAACTAATACTTACAAGAGAAGTTAATAAATTACCCCTTAACATTGAAGAAGTGAGGTAAACAAATTATCAACACCAATTAGAGTGGATTATGTTAATCTCTCTAATACGCGCTTTATTGTATTTTACAAATTAAAATTGTTTTCGTACGAAAAAGGTTTTTGTTGGATAAAGTTCAGCTAACCGAATAAAAAACAAATGGGCATGATCACGTGAAATCACGTCGTCTGACGCCTGTTGAGCTATAAACAAAAATATCAAAAATTTCGAACCTCAGTGCTAAATTATTATTTTCCCACGTTTGTAATGCTGTACTTAATCACAGTTTATTCAATTTTTATGTTATGTTATTCAACATTTGTTCATTCGAAATTTATTACTATAAGTATATAAATTGATGTCAATAAATGGGACTCGTATTATCTATTACTTGGTTTTATATCGGCATCTTCATGCAATTCATTCATTTGAACTTATTATTTTTTATGTCTAGCCTACGAGACTTAGAAAAAAATATTACACGGGATTTGCTAAATATGATATGGAACTTTTTTTTTTGGATTACACAATTATAAACTTACACTTTCTGTTAAGTCATTACAGTGGAGTAGAAACTCGATTAAGCGGACTAATTGTTGTCGCAAGGTATTAAGATAGTCAAAAGTCCGAATAATTGAACATAGAAAAACGATATTTTAACTTGTTATGTACTCTAAAAAGATAGCATTTAATATTTGCATCTTGACGTAAACGTGTTTTTTAATTTTTACTGCTGCTACATCACGAATTTATTTTAAATGAAGTAAACTCACAGTATCATACTTTGTTTGGTTTTCGCACTATTTGAAACATATTTCCATGGCTTAAAATGCTTGTATGAGATGTCCCTGCATAATTTTCTGCATTTACTTATAACAATAACAAAACCATTAAGAAAATGAAAGTAGTTTTTGTTCTTGTTGGAGCACGCATAGATTTAAATAGTACCAAGTTATTCGACTTCGATTGAAAATCTGGATAATCGTGACTAAGGTCCGGATATAAAAGTCTCCACTGTATTACAAAAACAAAACTTTTACAGCGTACCCAATAAACAACTTACTACGCAATAATTTCCTAAAAGCTCTTCGTTGTCATGAATCGCTATTTCAAAATCGTTTATGAAATAGCGATTACGTTATAAGGTAATAATTATACGTTAAGTTACGCTGCAACAAACAAACAGGAAGCATGATTAAAATTTAATTTTGAAAGTTTGAGAAGGTATTGCTACCTGGTAGGCGTTTAAAAAAATTAGATGAATTCACAGAAGTTAGCGAGCGTGAAATAAAGCGATCAATGGGTATATAAAATATCTGCAAAAAAGGTCCACTTGGGATACATTTTGTTAGATAAGTGTTACAATGCAATCTGGCAGATTGCCTTATATTGAAAACATGCAATTATTTAAACGTTATATGAGTGCAGTAGCACTACATGAAAGGAAATTAAGAACCACGAAGAAAAGAAATAGTAGTAATGAGAATTGGACACAATATAATTACCAAAAATTCTCCACTACAATACTTCGTCATTCTAGAATATTAATTTCTTTTTTGAACGTAACTTACCTAGAATTAACTACCTACATTTTAATTCATTTCTAAATCACTTTAAAGACGATACTGACAACTTCGAATTTCTCCTAAAGTAATAACCTAATGTTAAAGGATTCGCTAAAACTGCTAGTTTATGTTCTCCACATATTTTTATATAAAATCAATATCGTTCGCCTTAGAAGACAAACCGCAACGATCAGGAGTACCGCCACCGTTTCGGGCACAACAACACCCCTTTGACCCATCCCCTTGTAGTACTTGCCTGAGCACAACGTTAGCACGTTGTGACATAAATACTTATCTAAGTAAACTTTAAACTACATCGCTTCGCTTTTATTGTCCCTCAATGAAACAAGTTTTATTTAGGCCAATGTGATTTCGGCTGCGATTTGTTGTGATTATACCTGATTACTATCTAAGGAATTTGCTTCATGTACATAAATGTTTTATTGACAACTGTATTGTAACTGACAATTATATTTATAACTAGCTGGTACCCGCGACTTCGTTCGCGTGGAATTTGAAAAGTGCTGCCTTAGGGGGTTCGACTCCCCGACCGGGCAAAATTTTGTGAGGTTTTTATGAGAAAAAAAAATAGCCTAACATACTAATACTAGCAACATATTTAACAATATCAAAATAAAAAGGTTAGGAAAAGTAGTTAAATATTTCAAAAGGATACAGTAATAAAAAAAGGACGGTTTGAATCTTCAGATGACAAATAACAGATTTTGATAGTAGCCGTAGTATATCCACAGATTTTAACAATATATTTCATATATAAAGAAAATCATTGACATACTATTTCAACACAACTTTTACGTTAATGTTTATACATACCAATATCAAAATACCGACCTATAAAATGTAAACAATATAATTAATGATCTAGTCACAAGTACTTACACTAACGCATTTAAAAATGTAGTAGTATTTTCTTATTTCATTTTTAAACTCGACGTAAAAATCTGTGTATTACACAACTAAGGTTTCGTCCCTTCTTCTTTAAACTTCTTTAAATTTATTTTGATTGGTATACCTTCTGTAAGAAGCCGTCCCGTGCTTACCACGTAATATTATAGTTCCATATTTCTAATTAAGCTAGTTTAGTTTGCTTTTTAATATAGACCACTTAAATTCCAAACATTGGATGACCCGTTTATTTACAAATTTATTTACAAAAAAGTATAAACATGGTTTAGTTTTTATGGTCCATTCTGTGTAACTTGTTTACTATCATTCAGAATTAATATTTAGAAAGTAATTATTACTAATGCTTACCGACTCTTATGTAGTAGGAATGTGATCATATTGTTGTCATATTACTCAATGAAATGAAACTATTTTCATACTGGGACTTAATAGATAACGCAAAATTGTTAAATTACTAGATACTAACATATCAAATATCTGGTCATAAAATATAATTCATGATAGATATATAGTGGTATAAATGACTAACAATGGAGAACAGTACCGCAAACAAAGTAGCAAAAAAATGGTGAACAAATTAAAATCTTAAGTATAAATATAATATGGAATTCTTTAAGAAACTAGCATTAGAAAGATCAAAGGAATAATAAAACGATGTGTAATCCTGATTTTTAATAAATGAATTCCCAACTTAAAAGTTGTTAAACAACGTGCCAAGTGCTCCAAGTGGAATCACGATATCACTGGCAGAGAGAGCGGTGTCAGGGGGATATTCTGTGTAGGTCGGACCATTACTTGTAGGACGATCGCGACGTATCTCGG